CGCCCGCCGCCGCCGCCACCGCCGGCGCGCCGACCGTGGGAACGCAGCCTGCCCGCCGCTAGCACGTGCGGCCGCCGGCTCCCGGCCGCCGCCCGCCGCCTCCGGCTTTGCGCGGAGTTTTATGTTCGCGCCGCCCTTTCTAGCCGCCGCTGCCCCCTCGCGCGCGGTCGCCCATCAGGGGCGGTTGCACCTTCGTCCTGAAGCTCTGGAGGCCTCTCCCGCCTCTCGAAGGCTGCCTAGCGCCCGTAGGAACGCAGGACAACCTCGACCGCGAACTTAAAACCCGCGTCAACCGGCGGACCCGGAGCCAGATTGCCAGAGAGTGAGCGAGTGCTCAACAAAAAGGAGGAGTGGGGCGGGGGAGGGGAGCGCGCGGGCGGGCGGGTGGCGGACGGCGCGTTCGGACAACCTGCTGCATTTCCCACAGTCGGCCGCAGGAAGCTGGCTGCCAGCGGCGGCGGCGGGCGGGGGCGAGGGGCGGGCGCCCATTGAGCTCACTGAGTCAGCCTCTGGTCAGAAGCCCCGCCCGTCCCGCCCGCGGGCGTGTGCTGGGCACGGGCTGCGCGCCCGCCGCCGCCGCCTCCACCGCCACCGCCGCCTGTCCTCGTCCGCCCGCCCCTCCCCGCACCCTGCCGCGGGGCGCTCCCATGTGGAATAAATTGGCGCTAAACCGTGATAAGGCGGATGTCCGCCTGCGGTGATAGCGCAGCCCGACGGAGGCCTGCGCAGATTGGGGCCGCCCCGCCGGATGCGCCGTGCGCGAGCCCCGCGCACCCCGCGGCCACAGAGGGAACTTCTGAGATTCGGGAAAGCGATGCGGGCGACGCGACGCAACGCGCGACATGGCGATGCCCGCCAGCCGACGGTTTTTTGTTTACACCGGCGCGATGCGAATTTGTTGCGATTCGGCCTGCTGAGCGGCGTGCTATCTCTTGGTTGTGAAAGCAGGAAATTCGCTCTGCATGCTGTGAAACGTAAAATAAGTTGAACGAAATGTGCATCTGTTTGGTCTCAATATACTTTTTTTTTATAAATAAATCTAGTGCAACCGATATTCTTACAGAGGAAAATTGTCTAATCTGACTGGCGTTTCAGGAGAGTGAAAGCTTGCCAATAATAAACCTAACAAACTATTTTTTATTACTTAACGGATAAAAACAAACCGAAAAATAACCTAAACTACATGTAATATTGTCGCAGAGTATCGACTGCATGCTTTAATTATCATTTGTACAGACATTGTTCTACAGTTTCTAAAGCTCTTCGTAGATGTGTGACAAAATTAATTCATCGCTGTTTGATTCATCGGTTGTAAAACCAGGAAATGCATTTCGCATTGTAAAATTCTTCATTTAAAAAGTAATTCAGTATATGCATTGAATTGTTATTTTTAATTAAGCTTTGAATATTGTTATGGTTGGAGTAAAATCATTAGTCCTACTTACGAGGTTATTGTGTAAACGTTTGGCACCAAATTTCTGAAGAAAGCATCTTTATTTGGAATTAATATGACAAAATGACGCTACTAAATGGAATCCCAACCAAAATCAATTTCGTGAGAATTCCCCAACAGTTTCTGCAAATTCTATAAACATGTTTATAAGGTAATTTAAAGTGTACCACATTTATAAAGATTATGGATTTTGACGACGTTGCTAATGAATTTAACGTTAAAATTGTGCATTTCTTGTTGCGTAAATTCTAATCTCAATAGTATACGTTAATGATAAATTACTAACCAAAAAAATAAAAAATAACATTGCTTCAAGAGGCTTTTAGGCGTTTCTAGAAATTCGAACTACCCTTTTTGCTCAATTTTCTTTTTCATTGGTTTTAAATTGTATTTTGTGTTAGAGTGAAATATATTGAACGGAAACATATTGGGAAATAGTATTGATATCAAGATTAAACAGAAACATTATAAATGAGACTTGATGTGACTACTGCTCAATATATAAGGGGCCAACCACCAACCATGGAACGTTATAGTACATACGACTGGAGGACGAAAGCAATGTTAACATACTCGTGTGAGAACTCTAAAAAAAGTAGATCTCTAAATAAAGATACAATATCTCCTGAGTCTTCTGGACATCATACAAGCATTGGACATATATGAAATGTGCATTTGAATTTCTGCATTTGGAGGAAATGTTTAGTATGGATTTATATAATTTGTTTGAAAAACGTTATTTTAAGTCATAAGGTTGCAGAACATTAAGCCATATTTGTTAAAAATGATAATGGAAGGTTTTAGGAATGTCCAGAGAGAACATTTTTGCAAAGGTAGATTCATAATAACGGCACTCAAAAAACCCTACTAACGTGAAACTTGACGAACTTAAGGAGTTAATACGTAATTAGAAAGAGTAGCAATGTCTGAAACACTGAAAATAAACACTACTACGACAATCTTTTGCGTCTCTCGACATTTTCTTCGGCGAAAGGGGAATAAGCAGTACAGCTGGGAGAGGCTTTTAAACTTGCTTCATCATAAGCAGTCTATTCGTTGGAATTTGAAGGGAGAAGCCATACTGTCCGTTTGAATTTCCTCCTTGTGGAGTGAGAGGGGCCCGTGGAACGGAGGAAAGGGGGAGGGGGGGAGGGGGGACAACAAGAGGGAGGTTAGGGCGGCGGCTGGTCGACACCCCACGTGCTCAGCGGGACAGCAGGGCAGGAGGGTGGCTTTTCTTTATTCTACGGCTTCCTCAGAGGACACTCACCCTTTCGCCCCCCGTCCCATTTCCTTCTGTTACATGTCAGCCGCGCACTCCGTAGGAAAAATGAAGAAATTTTTAAATTTTACCTTAACGTGTTTTGTCGTCGCTCATTAACCAATATGCAATTTCCTTCATTTAATAACCCACATATCAATTTACTGGCTGGTGAAACTGCATTTATTAATTCAACCAAAAAAGTTAAGGTAAGTTTTTAATTATAATTTTGGTCGAGGTTACTAATTTTCAGAATTTTTCTGAATTACGTACAGCCATTTTATGCAATTATTTCTCTCACACATTTAAAAAAAATAATTTTGGGGGTGTAATTATTTTAAACAAAAACATTTAATTGTTATTGAAAAATTATTTGTTATAGGCCAACCCAAAAATAACTAATACTTCATAAAAATTTCTTCAAGTTTTGTACACAAACCAATTGTACTTTCTGGGGTGATATCTTAGATTGTTAGTGAATATCGGAAACAAATATATTGATTAAAATTACATATTTGTTATTGTCCCTCCTGCATCATTACAATTGTCAATGCGTTTTCCATTTCCTTATTTGAACTTTTTCTTACTATTATTCGGCAAAACACTTCCATGATTCAAAATTACTTTATAAAATGTGGTAGAACATTCCAGTTCTTTGAACTGTAGGTTCTTTGACCCAGTGTCAGTGAATCCACATCCGTAAGTGCGACGTAAACACCATCAGCAACGGAATATTTCCGGAGGACAACACAAAAACAGATGCATGGGCGGAAATTGAACCCACGTTGCTGAATAGCGAAATTCTCTGTTGTTCAAAGGGAGGTTAGGTATTATTCTGCTGACTACTACGATTCATTTCACATGAATCTTCGTTATGTACCTTACGAAGGAAAGGAATTGAAGAACTGTAATTGAGAGTGGAGATAAAATAATAAAATTTGGTTGAGCTGTAATCAATATAATTTATTCCAGTTAGGATCTTACATATTAGTTTATTATAATTAATAATATAAACATAATAATTACACATGATAATTTTTTTTAAAAATATAATGAACTCAGAAGTTTTATTTCTTTATGAACGTTAAAGAGAAAATGGTATCAATTTAAAGTCATTGATCTCCATTTTCATTATCACTTTAATTTTGACTTGACCTGTACACCTAGTTTCCCGATGTTGACATGATTTTTGCAAGTTCTCAGCGTAAATAAAAATGGTTTTTTTGTAATTTGGTACAATCCACTAAGGGATTTTTGTTTTGTGTCTGGTTTTGTTGATATTGAAACAAGAGTTTAAATCTTCACTTCAAACATGATAGAAAAATTAGAATTTTTTAGTCAGAGCCCTGAAAGATGAATATTTGATTTTTAATATTCGCAATATTTTATGACTACCTCATATCTTTGTATTTGTATTTTTGTGGGATATAATTGCATTTCGTACAAGGTAAATTAGGTAATTCTAAGGTAATTCCTTATTATAAGAAAATATAATTTCGGAGTGTTCTCAGAGATCATGACACTTGAACACATACGCATTTTGCAGAAATTGTTTTAATTTAGGGGTATCTTGAAAGTTTTTTTATTGTTGTTGGTAGTTTGTATTTAACGCAATAAAATTCGGAGAAAATAATTAACAAACAAAATAAAGCCTGACAACAAGTATTTCAAACATTCCGTTACATAAAATGCTACAGCTTTTGTTCCAAAACAATAAATGCGCGACCGCAACAATGTCACAACAATGAACGACACCGCGCAAAACAAACATGCAACGCCGCCACCAGCATAGTGTAGTATTCTCCCGCGCGAAAACGCACGCACGATCGCGAACAGACACCAAGGAACGATCGTCCGCGATGTATTATTTATCGAATGCTCGCGCACGCGCGCGCAACAGTCGGGCGGCGGCGGCGGTGGGTTGCGTCAACGCGCGCCGCCGGGCCGGCCACGCTCACTCGCGCGCGCCAGCGCTAACCGCCGCCGCCTCCACCTCCGCCGCCGCCGCCACCGCCGCCGGCGCACGCGCGGGCACGCGCGGAGCGGTGGCGCGGCTCCGTCCTCCGCGCCTCGCCGCTCGAATCAATCCACACCCCCCTCCCTCCCCTCCCCCGAGCCGCGCCTCGCTTCTCCTGGGCGCGTGTCGCCTGGTCGGCGGCGGCAGCTGCCGTCCGGCCCCCGCGCCGCCCCCGTCACCCGGCACAGGTGGCCGCCGCCACCACCGCCGCCGCTGCTTCGGTGGGAACCGCGCCTGGCCGCTGTTTCCCACGGCTGCGCTGCGAGGCCCCCCACTCCGCCGTCCGGCCATCCCCTCCCCGCGCCACCTGCCCCTCGCGTATATAAGCGGCGAGCGCCCCCTCCAGCGGCATTGCTTCGCTCGTAGCTGCCCGCTGAGGTCGCCAACGCTGTGTTGCTTCCTGCGAGAGTGTGCCGCGAGCGTGTGTGTTGTTTTCCTCTGCGCTCACGTTGACAGTGTTTTGGGTTGACGATTTCGAGTGTGCCACGATGATCCACGACGGTGTCATGACGTCAGTCGACATTGAACAGTTGCAGCCGATCTCCAGGACTTACCAATACCGAAAGGTGTGTACCAGTGTTTTGATATTTTAAATTAAGTGTTAACTCACGTCAGTTGCTTATGACAGTGCCTACTTAATTCTTCAAAATTATTTATTATTATTAAATCAATAAAATCATTTATGAATACATCATCGTTTATATTCTTACTTATACAACTTGGCAATGCGCGTTACTTTGTTTGCTATGGTAGTGTGAAATGAGCATTGTCAACAATCCATTCCTCGCTTTTGTTTCAACAGTCACTTTGAAAGTTGCGTGACATTAGATTTAATATTAAATTCATTTCCGCGCAGTCTCTTTAGTCTTATAGTAGAGCCTTAGGGTATCTGTGCCTGTCAGCTGGAAAGACCATGGTGATTAACGTTCTCGTTCCGTGTCTGCGCAGGTGATGAAGCCCATGCTGGAGCGCAAGCGCCGAGCCCGCATCAACCGCTGCCTGGACGAGCTGAAGGAGCTGATGGTGTCTGCGCTGGCGGCGGAGGGCGAGAACGTGGCGAAGCTGGAGAAGGCCGACATCCTGGAGCTGACGGTCCGCCACCTGCACCGCTTGCGCCGCCAGCAGCGCCTGTCGCTGAACCCCGTGACAGACGCCGACCGTTTCCGAGCCGGGTTCACCCACTGCGCCACCGAAGTGTCCCGCTGCCTCGCCGCCACCCCCGGCGTGGACGTGGCGCTGGGCACCAAGCTCATGACGCACCTGGGTCACCGGCTCAACGACATGGACAAGCTGCTGCCTTTGAGCGTGCAAGTGGGCGGAGCGGTGGCGGGCGGGCACACGCCCCCCGGCTCGCCCGCGGGCTCCTCGCCCGCGCCCTCGCCCGCGCCCAGCACCAGCAGCTGCTGCGACGACAGCGGCAGCAGCGGGTCGCCTTCGCCCTCGCCCGCGCCCGCTGCCCACGCGCAGTACGCCATGCCGCTCACGCCCGCCTCCAGCCGGTCGTGCGCCTCGCCCCCGCTCGCCTCCGCCACCGCCGCCCCGGCCAGCCCCGCCGCCACCGTCCCCGGGTGCGGGGGCGGCCTGCTCAAGGTGGTGGACACCGCGGCCCCCGCCGGCAAACGCGAGAACGTCTGGCGGCCGTGGTGAAGAAGGCACAGCCTCCTTGAGACTGCTTGCTTGCTGATCTTCAACGAAGACTTTTTTGTTTTGTTTGTTACTCGCTTTTGCGAGCTGCAACTAGCGGACATGCATTTTGAACACATCATGACACGATATGAAGCGTTAACAAATTATTACCTTATTTTTAATCATTGATTTGGTATGACACATGAATCTAAAACGCTTCGTAAAAAACGAAACATTTTATTTTTATTTACAATGTTTTTCGAGATTTCAAGAATACCTTTCTCATACTCGAATGTTTTTTACAAGAATGTGTGAAATGCATTTTCGCTAGTTCTATTCTGATCTCATACGAGCAGAATGTACTGTATTTGCTAAGTGCTTGTAGACAGTTAATGAATGATGTTGAGAAGCTTTAAATTTATAGAATTGAGAAACACTATTTTTCTTCGTCCGGCCTTCATGCTCGTAGGCCGTGAATGTGATATGTTTGTACCTGTGATAAATAAGACTTTTAATTCACAAATTTTTTATATAAAATAGATTTTGTATTGTATGCTGCTTTTAGTGGAAAGAAATTTTTTTGCACTTGAAAAGAATGTCTGAAGGCATGCCTGTGATAAATTTTTAAAATAATTGCATCAGAATGAGAATAAAACAATTTAATTTCTTTCAGTAGTAATCATCTTTTTTATTTTCCTTTTTCCCGGCCCTGAAAACAAAACCTATACACTTAGAAATAAGTATTTGGGGGAAAATATATGAATCATTTAATTAGGGAAATATACGAATATATGTATAAATTATTGAATATATATTTATAAAATAATTTTGAATAGATATTTAAATCTTTGATATTAATTAACCTCTTGGTTAGCTCTATAAATTATTATTAAGATTAATTCAGGGTGTGAGTTGAAAGTTAATAGAGAAAATGTTAAAATGTTTTATCTTAAAGCTGTCATGAGTATAACCAATTCTAAACATTCTTATAATTGTACGTGGGGTACTTCATATGAAATTAAATGAAAAAAATTACGTTCGATGAGGATGGTATTGTAGGCCCAGAAGGAACGATTTCAAATGTAAATAAAGTTTGTGAGTGACACTTTATTTCCAATAAACTTACCTGTTAAGTCACTGGTAACAGGTGGTAACCTGTTGTAGAGCTTGTCATTGGTTGGAGCAATAGTCAATCACACACTAATTTTAAACGGGAAAAAAACTCATAATGCTGAGAATGAACGGCTAGTTATACAGACTACCGCGTACCGGGACTGTTTAAACAGTGATAAACTCAAGGGTGAAATTACTTTAGTGTAATCAAAAGACTTATCATTTCATATTATCATTCATATTATCATTTCTGGTCTTAGGAACCATTCAAAAAGTTCGTTCGTACCAAACAGAGCAGTGTCTTTCCATAGTTTTGAGGAAACCCTACCGAAAGGGTTAAGGAGTTGATGAAACATAAAGTTCTCACAATGTTTAATGTTAGGAATTTTATTACAATCTAACATTGATTTTATTAAAATGTTGAAGTTTAAGGTTTGTTGATGGTATATCATGCTATAAATGATTGTTCAAATTAATCTGTAATATATTTGCTTCTTTAATTTGAAAACTATAATAAAATTTCCCAAATGAAATTCACCTAATTTTTAACGAAATTAATACTTTTATTTAAATCAGCAGCTAAAGGAGGTGTTCGAAATAAAAAATTCATCTCAAGATGAACTTCTTGCAAAAGGGGCTGGTAAAGAAACAAAATTTTCTAGTAAAGTATCTAACACTCATTTCGAGTATACATATTTAAAATACGTTCGAAACGCAATATACGTGTACCCAGATTTCGTTTGAATAGAAGTTTTCATGCAAACGCAGCTACAATGATCAAAATTATCCGGACACGTCCAAAATGGTGTTATGGTAAAGTCGTGTTTTTCATGAACCTCTTGTTGATTTGGGTGGCACTATCATGGCACATGCCTACGTTGATGTTTTAAACACCTTCTTGCTTCCCACAGTTGAAGAGCAATTCGGAGATGGCGTTTGCATCTTTTCATACTGCACGGCCTGTAACGGAGTGGTTACACGACAATAACATTCCCGTAATGAACTGGTCGACATAGAGGCCTGACTTGAATCCTATCGAACACCTTTGCGATGTTTTGGAACGCCGACTTCGTGCCAGGCCTCGCCGATCTACTACATCGATACCTCTCCTTAGTGCAGCAGTCAGTGAAGAATACGCTACCATTCCCCTAGAAACCTTCCAGCACCTGATTGAAAGTATGCCTGCGAGAGTGGAAGATGTCATCAAGGCTAAGGGTGAGCCAACACCCTATTGAATTCCAACATGTCAGATGGAGGGCGTCACGAACAGGTAAGTCATTTTCAGCCGCGTGTCCGGATACTTTTGATCACATAGGTATGATGCTTTTTGTTTTATTTAAATTTAACTCATATTCTTGCAATTATAATTAACTTCATTAATGAAAGAGAGGACCAGGAGAGATGGCTCAGGGCATTAACTGATGTCACTGCGATCCCTCTGATCGGGAGGTCCCAGTTTCAAGTTCCGACGGTGGCAGAATTTTCGACACTAGCTTGTCAGCTAGGTCGTATTCAGTGGCTGTCTTGAGGAAAATCCTAACCTTAGCTGCTCTAATCTGGAGTTCTCCGTGTCTTTTCTGATCAACACCAGGCGAATGCCAAGCAGTACCCTAACAAATGGACCGCGAACTTTCCTTCTCTTCCTTGTGCTAAGCTCATCCCTGACTTACAGTAACATGCACTACACATGCAGGGAGACAAGTCGCGAATTTAGATTTTATCCTGGCTGGGGCGGTGCCCCGCTGGTGCGAGATACCCACTCGCCATTAAATATTGTCGTGTTGCGTAAACAGCATTTTTTTTTACATATTTACAACATAAAAGATCGTTGGGTAGTAATTATTCTCTTTTAGGGGGTCTCAAAGCGTTGGCCGCCTCTTGCTGAGGTGGAGGATAATTTGGGGCGAGGCGTATTTTATTTGCTTTAGTTACTTCAGGATAAAATACTTCCAACTTTTCCCCCCTAGCGCTTATATCCAATTGACAGCCTGTTACCCTTTACGCCCCAATAGAACGTAAAATTTGACAGTACACAAGACACAAACACAATTGTGGGCTTCTCTGATCTGGGATCAGGAGGACGCAAGGCCCGCGACAACACACATGAGAGACAGGGGACAAAGTGCCATACCCAACGCGGGACTCGAACCCGTGACCTTTCGGTACACACTCTTAGCCACCTGAGCCATCCAGCCACCTCGACCAAATCTTTAGAACTAAGATTTTAAAATGTGACGTACAAGCCAAAGCGGAATCATAAATCTTGAAATTTTTTGGAAGATCTATTTGCCTGTTTATCCAAAACTTAGTACTAAAGCGGCAAAGCTGTTGGTGCAGTTTGACACATTTCTACATGAATCTGAGTTTCCTGCTCTTGCCTATATCAAATAAAAATACCGAACAAGGCTGGACCTCGAAAATGATTTGAGATGTCCATTATCATAATTAACAAGAAATATTGAAAAAATTATGAAAGACGACAGTGTTATTGACGTTATATTACAAGAAAAAATGTATTTTTTCAATAATATGTTCAATAAAGCACATTGAAAACTTATCATGTAACCTAATCGAGAATGTTTGCTCTCATCTTCAATATAATATCATGGGGTGGCGGTCCAAGAGAGAGGGCATGCCCTGAATGAACCGCTCTTCTATGTTATTCCAGTTAGTCCAGTTTTCGGAATTTATTGCAGTGTTTTATGAGAATATTTTCTTTTGTTCTTCTTGGGCAGTGTGCGTGCTACTTTTTGGAAATCAATATAGTGGTTTTGCTCAGCATTTTTGCTGCCGCAGGTCACTAGACATTTATAATTTTGAAACAAGACAAAATAATTACCAGAAATTCAGACCTTAAAATATAAGATTATAAATAAGATATTTATTCAATTGTTTGGAATTTTTATTTATCCAATCTAAATCTTGGCACACGAAGCAAAGAAAAACAAGGGCAATTAAACTGTTCCCAGAACCAGCCAATCGCATGATTTCAGTCAACAAATGTTTTGTATAGTTTTGTGTAAGTGAATGCGTTTGTTTTGACTTATGAATTGGACTCACAGCGAGGCAGTCGCATGATTTCTGTAAAGGAAAATGGGGTATTGTTCGAGTGAATGTGTACTTAAGTGTTGATTTCTGATGCATACCCTCGCGGTTTAGCTCATTGATCAGCGAGCTAGCTTTCCATAATGTGAACCCTGGGTTCGATTTCCGCTCAGGCAAGATTATAGTGTGCGATTTCCTTGCAATGCCCTAGTACATGTTGCTGCGTGATGATGGGAAAACTCGCTTCTCAGGTTGACAAGACCAGAATACGGCGCAAGGGATATCTTCTTACTCGCCATACGTCAGTCAATTACTAAACAACTTTATCGGTCTAGGGACAAAATATTTTTCTTCAATTACGATAAACACGTAAAATTGCTCTTTACATATTACTCAAGGAATATTTACCAGCCGTTTAATGAATTGTGTTACATGCGAAAAATCTGACTCATAATCTGACATAGTAATGCGCAGCCAAAAGTGCCAAGACAAGAAGAGAAAGGGGAATTTGTAAACATAGATTCCTATTACGAAGCATGCAACCAAGTCGAGAAAGAATTTTTCAGAAGTCATACTCTGAAGGGGTGAATGAGTCGTGTTTACAGTATGGTGTGCAGTGAAAGTGTGAAATAGATAATTATTTTTGACAATCAGCACCGCTTTTAGATACTATCTGTTGCGTGTGGGTAACATAATTTAGGGGGGCATCAAAGGAAATGCTTTAAATGCTACATTAAATCTCCATGGAATTTTATTTTAAGCTTCTATTTTAAAGTTTATTTATTGAAGTTAACAATGTGTACACAATATATTAAAAAAGGTCAAGTAATGTCGCATGTCTTCTTGAAATCAATAATATAATT